GAGCCCGATGCGGGACTCGATCCCAGGACCCTGGGATCATGACCTGAGCCGAAGGCAGACGCCCAACCGACTGAGCCACCCAGGCGCCCTCTATCTATCTATTTTTAAAAATATATAGTTATTTAATTAATCTCCACCCAACATGGGGCTTGAACTCACAACTCCAAGATCAAGAGTCACGTACTCTTCCAACTGAGCCAGTCAGGTGCTCCTGCCCTTAATACAATTTTAAAGCATGCTTACTTAGAGAAGCATTTAAATGACATAGTTTGAAACTTAAATCTGTATTTAAATTGACCCCATTAACGTCCCTTAGAATTGGAGGAGTAACTATAGAAAAGATTTTATCACAATTGCCTCATTTATTGTTTTAAAATGTGTCTTCAAGTTCAGGTGATCAAAATTTTTCTCTTTTATGAATTGTGTATAGATGTTCCCTGTAATGTCATCAGAGACTGAAAGTTACAGGGGTGCCTGGGTGGCTCAGTCAGTTGAATGGGTGACCCTTGATTTCAGCTCAGATCATGATCTTGGGATCGTGGGATCAGTCCCCGTGTCGGCTCCGCACTCAGTAGTGAATCTGTTTGGGATTCTCGCCTCTCCTTCTGCCCCTCCCCCATTGCTCACACATACTCTGTCTCTCAAATAAATAAATCTTGAAAAAATTTTAAAAAAGAAACCTAAAGTTGCAATAATAATAAACATATTTTGCAGAGCAGTTTCACAACCATTATCTCATTTTATTCTACATAGTCACATTCATTCATTCAGCAAACATAAAAAGGTCATTGCCTATCCTACTCTCTGGAATTAGGTGTTATCATGGATCTTACTTTATAGTTAGGGGATTGAGGGAGACACCAGGTCACCACTCTTAGGTGCAGGAGGCATGATTCCAGCGTGAGTAATGTGACTTAAAGTCCTGACTAAAGCCTGCTGCCTTAAACTTAAGAGTCAAAACTGCCCATGACTGTGTGATCCCTCAGGGCCTTATTTCTTCATCAGCAAAATCGAAATGTTGGATTCTATAATCTTCAAGCTCCATTCCACCATCAAAATCCTAAAATTGAAGTCATTGATAATAGTAACAACAACGAAAACTATAAAATGATTGGGAGTAACCTTAACTAGAAAAGTATATAACTTTATATGGAAAAAAAACCCTATAAAACTTTCCTGAGATGCTTTAAAAAAAGATTTTATTTATTTGAAAGAGAGAAGGGACAGAGGCAGAGTGAGAATCCCAAGCTGACTCCACGCTGAGTGCAGAACTGGTCACAGGGCTCGATCCCACGACCATGAGATCATGACCTGGGCTGAAACCAAGAATAGGTGGCTCAATCCACTGAGCCACCCAGGTGCCCCATTCCTGAGATGTTTTTAGTGACTAGAATACACAGATTTGCATATGTGTTAATTTCCCCATTCTTTTTTTGTGTGTGTTCAGATCTACTAAATAGAACTCAGGTGTGATGATTTAGTGCTTGTAGAAAAAAAAGTTTATTTGGGGAGGGTTGAGTCATTAACAAATCTGCAGACTGTCTCCAGAAATTTTGGTTGTTTTTCCAAGGAACGCTTTGTTCTTTTTAATGAGAGTAAAGACAGATGGGTTTAGAAGAGACTTTCTTCTGTTAAATGAATAGGCCACTGGGCTGCTTTGCTTAGTTTAAGGCAGTCCTCTGGGAAACAGGCATGTACACCATTTTTCTTTGGGGGTGTGGCAGCATTATTATTAGTATGAAGTTATATCTGATTGGCCTGAATTGTGCAGCATTAGGAGTGATATCTTCAGAGCTCAACATAACAGCTCATGAGTGGGGAAAGTTATAAAGGAGAAGGAAGGATCATCACAGTGAGCATTTAGACAGTGCGACTGATTGTTTTCAAACAAATCTAATTCTAACAAATTCTAACAAATCTAAATATGCCTAGTAATGAAGACATCTTAATAACAGAGAAAGCAGCCCCATTATCTCCATGCTTCTATTAACCAATTTATTTTGTTTAGATTAGTGGGCAGGATACCATCTGTTACCAGAAAATTTCTTTTCATCAAGCTTGCCTCCATTAAGAGTCTCCAGTTAAGTAACTTCAGCTGCCCACCTGTTTAATTTCCATAATAATTCAGGAGTATGGAAAGAAAAAGGCAGCTAAGAGGATATTGTAAATTGTACCACCCTCAGAGGATTTAATTTGGTCACCTCCTTGGCAAGAAAAATTAGTAGGAGGAGTTTGTGTGTGTTAGAGAAAAAGGCTGAGAGGAGAGGGAGGAGTAGAACTGATGGAGGTGAGGCAGCTATAAGGAAATTGTTTAGCAGGATATTTTTTAAAACCTTTTTTTCCTAATAGTTTTTTGGTGACTTTGTTTTTGTCCAAGATCTCTTTTTACTAAGACATATTTCAATGATTTAGACACAGGTAGTGATAAGAATCCTTTTCCCTAATATTTTACTTTCAGGACTATGAAATATATCCATATACATATTGGTGTGTGTGTGTGTGTATACACATATATATGTGTGTATATATATATACAATATATATACAATATACACATTTGTGTGTTTATATATAAAGTGCAACTAATATACAAATGTTATTATTGTAGAAGATGGCATTGTGATGCTGAACTTCTAATTTTTATTTTGCCAAAGATCCATGACTCCAGCTCAAGCTGACCTGGAATTTCTTGAGAATGCCAAAAAGTTGTCTATGTATGGTGTTGACCTTCATAAAGCAAAGGTAATGAATGATATATTTGGCCTTTATTAATATACATGTATCAGAACTGGGTCATATAATACTTGTTGCCAGCTTTTATCTGGGGTATTATAAAACATTCAAAAGAGATAGTTCTTGGTAGAATTTGAAGTGTTTAATTTGAATTGCCCCTTTGCAGTTCCACTGTCAGAATGAAATTTCACATTGAAGCCCCTGTAAGGATCAAAGATATTTCACCTAGAGTGGAAGAAGTGATATTTTCCTAAAATGCAGATGCATTTGAAACTATAAAGTGGCAGCAAGGCATGTTTCACAACCAGCGTCACCTACATCAGAATCACTGGGGCATTTATTAGATATGCAGATTCTCAAGATCCTCCCAGATTTACTGAATTACTTTGGACAAGACACTAGAGCTCTAATTTGAATGAACATGTAAATTACTCTCATTCACACCTGAATCTGAGAACCATTGGCCTAAGGTAGTGGTTCTCAAAGTGTGGTCTCCTAATCAGCGTTTAGCATCATCCAGGAACTTGTTAGAAATGCACGTTTCCAGCCCCATCCCAGACTTACTGAATCAGAAATGCTGCAGGTGGAGCCCAGCAATCTAATTTCACAAGCTCTCCAGGTGATTCTAATGCACATGGGATGAACCACAGTGGCTCATTTGGAAACTACTGGGTCAGGGAATTGGAAACTTAAGCTTTAATCCTAGTTCTGCCTAATACAACCTAACAGGATAAACTTAAGGGAAATTGCTTGACTTCTCTCATCTTCACCTACTGAAGTGGCTGGGGGTAGCAAGGGGGTGTGTGTGAGGAGTTTGTGAGGGAATGGGCTCAAGGGATGATGTGAGGTTCATGGGTGTATGATGAGGGGACTCAAAACCATGTCCAGTGAGAAAGCAGAGGAATAGGGATACTTAGCCCCTAGAAGAGAAAGTTTAGGGAAGACATAAAACCTGTCTTTGTGTATTTGAAGGATTGCTGTGTGAAGTAGAGATTTTACTATGGTTCCAGGTATAAAGCTAGAGCTAGTAAAATGGAAATTACAGGCAAATACCATTCAGCATAGTTTGACAAATTGTGAACAGTCAGAGCTTCACTAAGATGGAATGGGCCCCTAGCTACCATAGTAATTATTTCGTGCCTACAGCATGAAAGGTCCTGTTAGTCCAGTCACACACTAGATGTTTTAATGTCCTTTTTTCTAAATTCCCACCAAGCAGTTATTCTACCTGGAATAACTCCGTGACAGAATGCTCACTACCTTCTATTCCAAGATAGGTAAAATAATTGCTTGGTAGGAATTTAGAAAAAAGGACATTCAAACATCTGTTGTGTGATTGGACTAACAGAAACTTTCATGCTTCTCCCACCCTGAATAGCTGATATCTGAAGATTCTTCCTTCTTTAGATTCTGTTAAATCTAATAAAATTTCATTGCATGTTAGTGGTTTTTCTTAAAATGTTGCTCTGGATTGTTTTGGCCTGGGTGCTTCTGTGAATCTCTAAAGTAGATGATAGAAAGATCAGACCAGAAATTGTTCGGTTTTGCTTCTCAGTTCCTGCTGTAGGCTGATGTCGATGCAGTAATTATCAGGAATAGATGAAGAAGTCAAGCAGTATATTCCTTTCCCAAATGTTGTAAAGCAAATTGTTTCTCCAAAACATATAATTAAGAGAGAGAGAAAGCCACAGGTTTTAAGAATTTAAGAGGGCATCTTCTGGGAAATTCTCAGTTATATAGTCATTGAGTTAGAGCTGTTAATAATTTTTACCTCTCAGTTGTGTTTGTACATAACACATATAAGCACTAACATGTTTCTCTATACTCAATTTGGGAAAAGGAATAGTCAAGAAACATTTAACTCTGTGTTTTGATTACCTATCTACATAGTCATTGGTAGAGATTTACTCAGGTGAAATTTATTTTCCTTATTTGCAGACACAGATGATTAATATTATATATTTAATTTTTAAAAATTACTAAGGAGGTATAGAAATGTGGCTTCATCTTGCTGTTCCTTCTTGACTTTGGGATAATATTTATAATTTAATATACTTAACATCAATAATTACAAGACTCTGAGATTCTCTCATACTGAGTTTAGACAGGAATAGAGTCAACTCCTTTACTTACGAATTTTGGATGAATGACCACATTATCATAAAAAAATATAATTGTGCATGTATATTTGGTAGTAGACATACTCCTCAGCCCTAGCCTCCAGAAGTCATGTGGCCTACAGACTTAAAGCTACATGTGTAGGACATAGGTAGCTACTATAGCCACCATAGTAATTATTTACTGATTATGGTAGTGACAGATTTGAATATTTAGAATGAGAACATGAACGTTTACCCTAGAATTTTCATATACAGACAGGCATGATAAAAGCAGATGAGTGTCTCTTTTTGGATTATTATTTTTTTTTTT